AAAAAGGAAAAAATAAAAATATATTTATTAAAGTTAAAAATAAATTTTTTTATAAAGTTAGAGGTGTAGGATAATGATGACATTTCAGAAGGTTTAAAGTGAAATTTTTAGAAATGCAGATAAGATCTTTGAGGTGTAGGATGAAACACTCAAAGTATTATGTATTTGGTAGGAAAATTTTGTGTAAAGTATTAAGCATATTGGAAAAGGATTTTGTGTAAGATATTGTATACTTTATTTTTATGTATTTTAATAATTGAATTTTGTGTGATGAAGTTGTTTTGTTTAATAACTTTTCTTTACAAGATATATTTTTATATGGAATGTATTTGGAAAATTTAAAATTACTAAATATAAAAATTATAATATTTTTCCCTCATTATAAATTCTTTATAAAATATTCAATATTATTTTGTAGAAAAATGTTTTATAACTCCTTTAAAAAGGTGTTTGATTACTTCATAATAATAGAAACTGACCATCCAAATTCAATACAAGAGTAGAGAGATCTAATTAAAAATTATAAATTTATATTAAATGCATATTAAAACACAAAATGATAATAAATAAAATTGAATATAAAATGATATTAAATAATATTGAATTATATAATGACCAATTTAACATGCTTGACGGAGGTCCACATAGACTGTGGTAATGTATGAACAGATCTAGATCATAATATAATATTGAAATGCTCTCCACTCTTCTATTATGAAGCCATGAGCTAACCACACAGCGAACTATTCTTTCGCCTTTTACTAAAGAATACCGTGTGTTTGTCTCGTCAAATGGCATATTCTGCAATTTAGTTCAGAGTTGGTTTTATTTGAATATTGAATTACTGAGTTTATTGAATAAAAGACATGCACATGCAAATTTACTTATTTGAAAACAAAACAGTGTAGAAGAGGAAGTTCCTTAAAAGGAATTCGAATACTGAAACAAAATTTGTAAGTGAAAATTAATAATTAGCTTCTCTTTTCTAAGGTAGTTTACATACAAATACAACATAATATAATCCAAACATATGAATTACCAAAATACATTAATATTACCTTTGCATATATGTTAATTCCTTGTATTGATGACGAAAGAGGTTCACTGCATTAAAAGAAAATAAACTTAATTTGGACATTAGATCCCTGTTTGACTTTCTCCGCATTTTTGCTAAGATCGAATTCAATCCCTTTTTTGCAAATGAAGCCTTCATTTTCTTGCAAATCATGCAATCCAAACAGAAACTACACTTCCAATTTTATGAACATTTCTCTTTATACAGACACAACATTAATCCAAGATATAAGCTTCTGTAAAAATATAAATACAATCACGGATAGGTTGATTAAGTGTATACATGCCAGTGTGATAACTCTCAGAGACCAATTAAAAACTAACTGGTATGAAAGACATTCAAATATTTTTATAGACAACTCTGTTTTTTAATGTTGATTAATATTTAAAACACATTCAAATATCTTAAGAGTAGTTTATTGGGATTGGACAAGTAGAAAAAAAACTTAAAAATATTAAAAGAAAAGGTAGGAATCATCCTATCCATTGCTGGAGTCACTGGTCAAATCAGCATCTGCAAACTAACGTCTCACATCAACTATGACAATTGATGGAAACGACAGACAGAAGTTGTTATAAAATAACTTGTCAGATGATATTGCAAACTATCTTTNCTTCATTTTCTTGCAAATCATGCAATCCAAACAGAAACTACACTTCCAATTTTATGAACATTTCTCTTGATACAGACACAACATTAATCCAAGATATAAGCTTCTGTAAAAATATAAATACAATCACGGATAGGTTGATTAAGTGTATACATGCCAGTGTGATAACTCTCAGAGACCAATTAAAAACTAACTGGTATGAAAGACATTCAAATATTTTTATAGACAACTCTGTTTTTTAATGTTGATTAATATTTAAAACACATTCAAATATCTTAAGAGTAGTTTATTGGGATTGGACAAGTAGAAAAAAAACTTAAAAATATTAAAAGAAAAGGTAGGAATCATCCTATCCATTGCTGGAGTCACTGGTCAAATCAGCATCTGCAAACTAACGTCTCACATCAACTATGACAATTGATGGAAACGACAGACAGAAGTTGTTATAAAATAACTTGTCAGATGATATTGCAAACTATCTTTTCGCTTGGGGGCAATGACGGAGCTAGTGAGATTCTAACCGAGGTGCGTGTATTTCTGGTTGAAAACTATTTCCAAATCCCCTCTTTGTCCTGGGTTCATCTTTGGCCTTTGAGAATTTCTGGAAGAGCTCCCTTAGGAGTAAAGCCCTATAATTGTTGGTACAAAGTTGTATACATTTGTAATATTCAAATAAAGTTGAAATAACTATAAATTTTGGCTGTAGAATTTTGTGAGAGATACTCATGAAGTTTGGTTTTGATCATACTAAATGTGAATGGAACTGGCAGTAGAATTTTGTGAGGGTTAAGTCATTCTTATTTTTAATTTTATAACAATAGAAACTGAAAATATATATAAGATATATGTTTCATAACTCTTTGCTACATTGAAATGCATAATGGTTGCTCCAAGAGAATTCTATATTTATTAATAACACAACAAACTCAACAGAAAGAATCTTATATATTTATTAATAACACACCAGAGTTACAGAGGTTAATACATTATATTTATGAAGTTAACCTGTTAATGAGAAGGAAAGAATTTAAAAGATACCAGACAGCTTTTGATACAGTTACAAATTATTATACATATAAAACACGTTTATCTCCATTTGCAGTTGTCACATAATCCATATCATTCTTTCAAATAGTATTTAATTATTTTGTAACAATAGAAACTGAAAAATATTAAACACTTATTTTTTAGAAAATTTAAAATTATAAAATATAAAAATTATGCAAAAGAAATTATAACAGACAGGTTTCACTGGTTGATAAATTTTCTTTATAAGATATTTATTAATATTTTTATTAAAACTGTTTTATAACTCTTTTAAAAGGATGGTTAATTATTTATAATAATAGAAATTGAAAAAATTAATCCAACTCAATAACAGAGTAGAGATCGAATGAAAGTGTTATATTAAATGCACATTAAAATATATAAAACGATATCAAATAAAAATAATTGAATTATATGATGCGGAAGTTAGCATTTCTGACCAAAAGTCCACATCGACTGTGCTAGTGTATGAACAGACGAATGGTCATAATATAATACGAAAATACTCCTCAGTAGCATCTCACGGAGCCATGAGATAAACACATAGCGAACTATTCTTTCGCCTTTTACTAAAGAATACCGTGTGTTTGTCTCGCTAAGTGGCATACGCCTATTTTTGGAAGAGCCCTGAAAAGGGCTCTGCAATTTTAGTTTAAAGATCATTTTTATGGTATAATTTAGATCATAGAATTAAAGATTTTTTTCTCAGTTTCTGTAAGTTTGTATTATCTTTCAAACCTATGATAACAAGTACGATGAGAGGCTCCCTAACCCTGTGTTTAACTATTGACATCCAATCAGGCAGTTTTGTTTCATTGTCAGCATTAAAGTGAATTGGCTTCCAAATGTTGATGACTTTCATCAGCAGTACCTTTGCTTACCATGTAAGTGTAACCTATTCTGCATATATTATTGTTCCAGAACTGATGGATGTTGATCTAGAACCTGGCATGCTCCAGTGAGTTAATGCAATAGCACTAGATATTCAGTTTTATATTTATAATGAATTCCACTAACAACTGCTAAGATGAAGACTGCTTATATTATTGTTCCAGAGATATTCAGTTTTATACCAAAGACTCGATTAGCATAGTGACTAGAAAGGCTGAAACTAACACTTCAAACTTAAAGAAGTAATTTAAAGTAAGTAAAATAAGTCTACATACATACCACTAGTCACCACTCATGTACATCTGTAACCCATTTGAAATAACAAATAATACAGAATAATATAATCAAACATTGCTCAATATAATACAAATTAGATTGAAAAAATATATATTTATAATTGAAACTGACACTGTAGAACACTCCCAACAGGCATACTCTTAAAAAAAAGTGTATGCCATTTAAAAGTAATAAACACAGTTTTCTTATTTAGAAGACGAAAGAATATTTCGCTGTTAGTCAAGTGACTCCATAAGAAACATTTATGAAAATCCTTTCATTTTATGGTGCAATAAGTTCACTTGCCTATAGAATCCCATTTCGTGTGAGTGCATGAACCGTCCTTGAAGAGAAGGTGTCTGGCAACTCCATGGAACAAAAAGAAGGCTATAAAATGACATTAATCTATTCATCTACTTTAAAACAAAGCTATAAATAAAAGATAGTGATTTTAAAAAAATAACGAGATGAAAATAAAAAATAATATTTTACAAGAGAAAAATATTAATTCCAAATTGTAAAAAAATAAAATAAAATTTCGCTTATGTTTTGTGACAACTAAATACATATTAAACCCACTCCAAAAATGGACGTAAAGATAATTAACTCTATGCATTATGGCAAAATATATTAATATCTAGCCAAAATTTTCTGGATAACTCATTCAGAGTGTCATTGTCCAGTAGTTCATGGAATAACTGATGGCAAGATATAATATCTACCCTCTTAGCTCCCAGATTGCAACAAGAGTAATGAGTGATCATAAACAAATTCTTGACAAAAGCAACTATAGATTATAATTTTCACTCGCCATGTGAAGGGCCAATTCTTCAAGGATCACATAAACTTCATCCAGATTCAGATGGACTGAATTCCCTGACGAAAACATGTAAACTTTCTTTCGCAGCTCAATCCAACTCTGACCAGGTACTTTTTTAAGACCTTTTGTCCTTGCTGACACCCTCACTCTTGCGAAGTCATCCCACCTTCCATTTGCAGCGTATATATTTGACAGCAGCATGATGCTCCCTGTTATTTTTGACTTCAGGGTTAGAATTTGTGATGCTGTTTCTTCTGCAATGTCCACGTCTCTATACATTCTACATGAGTTTAAAAGAGCTCCCCAAATATACTCATTAGGTTCCATAGGCATATTTCGAACAATATCAGTTGCTTCCTTCAAAAGTCCAGCACGACCAAAGAGGTCAACCATGCATGCATAATGCTCTACATTAGGTTCAATCCTAAACTTTCTGGCCATCTGATAAAAAATGTTACGACCAGCGGCAACAAGTCCAGCATGACTGCAAGCAGATAGAATAGCCACAAAAGTGATGTTGTCTGGCTTCATTCCAGCTCTAATCATCTCATCAAAACTTCTTAAAGCATTCTCACCAAGCCCATGCATTCCATAACCCCCAATTAATGAGTTCCACGAAATTAAATCTCTACCCTTAATACTATCAAACACTAAATGTCCTTCCTTGAAGTTGCCACACTTCATATACATGTTAATCAGACCATTTCCCACCAAAATACTGTCACCCACCAAATTCCTAATGGCATAACCATGGAGCTCCTTGCCAACTTTCAATGCAGCTAACTCTGCACAAACCGATAAAACGCAGGAAATTGTCACACAATTTGCCATTACTTTAGAAAGCTGCATTTGCCTAAAAAGTTCCAGTGACTTCTCACCAAGCCCCTTAGAAGCAAAGCCACTAATCACCGCACTCCAACTTATAACATTAGGCCTCACTGGGGATTGACCATCTGTACATGACTTCTCCATCTGCAAAAATGCTGCATAGGCCTCCTCACACAATCCAGATTCAGCATACGCCGATATCAAAGCATTCCAACTTACTAGGCTCTTGTTCTTTATATCCAAAAACACCCTTTGTGCATCCCCCAAGTTTTGGTGCTTCCCATATGTCCCTATCAGAGCATTTTTCACAAACAAATAATCTTCATATCCACCTTTAACAACAAGCCCATGGATTTCTTTACCCCAGTCAACTTGAAGCATAGTAGCACACACAGACAACATCACGGCCAATGCTTCAGCACTGATTTCAATTGTCCTTGTCCTCATCAACTTAAACAATTCTAGAGTTTCGTCATAAAGCCCACATCTAGCATGACTTGACAAGAGAGAGGTCCATGTCACAGAATTCGGCTGCAAACCTTCCAACTCCATCCTTTTAAAAATAGCAGAAGCACCAAGAGAATCACAGTTGAAAGCATAACCCGAAACCATAGTATTCCACGAGACTAGGCTTCTAACAGACATTCCATCAAACAGTTGGCGAGAATCCTCCATTCGCCCGTGCTTCCCATACTTACCCACGAGTTCATTGACGACGTGAAGATGATTCTGAAAACCCAGCTGCAAAGCATGACAATGGACAATCCTGCAGAGATCAGAAACAGCCAGAGACGAGCAGGCCCGTATTATCAAGGGAAGAGTGAAGCCGTCGGGAAAAATTCCAAGGTTTCGCATTTCAAGATAAAGTCGAAGCGCGTGTTGATGGTAGCCATGAGAGACATTGGCTCTGATAATGGAATTCCACAAAAGAAGATGATGGAGTCCCTCAACTGGGATTGCAGCAAACACTTTGCGAGCGTCAGAGAGAAAGCCAAAGCGGGCGTAAACGGCTATGAGGCTGGCGGCCAAGAAGGGTAAACGATGGGCGGCGGTGAGAAGCAATTGGGAGTGAAGCTGGCGAGCTTGATGCAGAGTGAGACAACGCCGGAAAAAGGCATGGAAGGAATCAACAAGTTCATGGCTGTGGGTAACGNCATGAGTTTAAAAGAGCTCCCCAAATATACTCATTAGGTTCCATAGGCATATTTCGAACAATATCAGTTGCTTCCTTCAAAAGTCCAGCACGACCAAAGAGGTCAACCATGCATGCATAATGCTCTACATTAGGTTCAATCCTAAACTTTCTGGCCATCTGATAAAAAATGTTACGACCAGCGGCAACAAGTCCAGCATGACTGCAAGCAGATAGAATAGCCACAAAAGTGATGTTGTCTGGCTTCATTCCAGCTCTAATCATCTCATCAAAACTTCTTAAAGCATTCTCACCAAGCCCATGCATTCCATAACCCCCAATTAATGAGTTCCACGAAATTAAATCTCTACCCTTAATACTATCAAACACTAAATGTCCTTCCTTGAAGTTGCCACACTTCATATACATGTTAATCAGACCATTTCCCACCAAAATACTGTCACCCACCAAATTCCTAATGGCATAACCATGGAGCTCCTTGCCAACTTTCAATGCAGCTAACTCTGCACAAACCGATAAAACGCAGGAAATTGTCACACAATTTGCCATTACTTTAGAAAGCTGCATTTGCCTAAAAAGTTCCAGTGACTTCTCACCAAGCCCCTTAGAAGCAAAGCCACTAATCACCGCACTCCAACTTATAACATTAGGCCTCACTGGGGATTGACCATCTGTACATGACTTCTCCATCTGCAAAAATGCTGCATAGGCCTCCTCACACAATCCAGATTCAGCATACGCCGATATCAAAGCATTCCAACTTACTAGGCTCTTGTTCTTTATATCCAAAAACACCCTTTGTGCATCCCCCAAGTTTTGGTGCTTCCCATATGTCCCTATCAGAGCATTTTTCACAAACAAATAATCTTCATATCCACCTTTAACAACAAGCCCATGGATTTCTTTACCCCAGTCAACTTGAAGCATAGTAGCACACACAGACAACATCACGGCCAATGCTTCAGCACTGATTTCAATTGTCCTTGTCCTCATCAACTTAAACAATTCTAGAGTTTCGTCATAAAGCCCACATCTAGCATGACTTGACAAGAGAGAGGTCCATGTCACAGAATTCGGCTGCAAACCTTCCAACTCCATCCTTTTAAAAATAGCAGAAGCACCAAGAGAATCACAGTTGAAAGCATAACCCGAAACCATAGTATTCCACGAGACTAGGCTTCTAACAGACATTCCATCAAACAGTTGGCGAGAATCCTCCATTCGCCCGTGCTTCCCATACTTACCCACGAGTTCATTGACGACGTGAAGATGATTCTGAAAACCCAGCTGCAAAGCATGACAATGGACAATCCTGCAGAGATCAGAAACAGCCAGAGACGAGCAGGCCCGTATTATCAAGGGAAGAGTGAAGCCGTCGGGAAAAATTCCAAGGTTTCGCATTTCAAGATAAAGTCGAAGCGCGTGTTGATGGTAGCCATGAGAGACATTGGCTCTGATAATGGAATTCCACAAAAGAAGATGATGGAGTCCCTCAACTGGGATTGCAGCAAACACTTTGCGAGCGTCAGAGAGAAAGCCAAAGCGGGCGTAAACGGCTATGAGGCTGGCGGCCAAGAAGGGTAAACGATGGGCGGCGGTGAGAAGCAATTGGGAGTGAAGCTGGCGAGCTTGATGCAGAGTGAGACAACGCCGGAAAAAGGCATGGAAGGAATCAACAAGTTCATGGCTGTGGGTAACGTAGAAAGGGTGCGTGTGGAGGTGGGAGATTGAAGGAGAGACCACAAAAATGGATTGGAATGGTGACAAGAGAGAATGGAAACACTTGGAAGCTGCATTCCGCATCAAGCTTTTCAACCATCTTAGTTTCCACTGTCAGACACACAACCAGGTTTTTGTACACATGCTTCGGGTTAAATCAAAGAAACAATTTCCCAAAATAACAAAAGCATTTATAAAACTTGTCAACAAGGTGACATGACAAAGCACCTGTTCGACTTACTTTTGGATCGTCCCGCGTAGAGTGAGAAAGAAAAGGTTTTATAATCAGTCACAACCAAAATCACACTCCAGCAGTCACCAAAACTTCTGCACATACAATACTGCAGCTATGCGTTGGTACTATATGGTTCATGGCTGCTCATATGTAATCATTAATTTCCACTTAAAACATCTGAAAAACATTAATGCTCTTAGGCCTGGTTCATCCTAAGCCTTCTAGAATTTCTGGAAGGGTTTTATGTTTTATGATGTATTGTTGAGTTAAATGTGGATAAAGTAGTTCTCAGGATGTTTAATTTTATAACAATAGAAACTGAAAACATATAACAATTATTTGTGGAAATGTATAGCAGGTTTATGTTTGATAAATTTTTTATAAGATAAACTTTTATATTAAATGTCTCATGACTTTTTGAAGATGGTGTTTAATTAATTTAAAACAATAGAAACTGAGAAGTATATAACAATTATTTGAGAGAAAATTTAAAATTACAAAAGATAAAAAATTTTATGCAAAAAAAAGTTAGAACATGTTTCTTTGTTTGATAAGTTTTCTTAATAAAATATTCAATAGTATTTTTATAAAAAATGTTTAATTATTTTATAATAATAGAAACTGAAAACAATTGATCGAAAGTCAATAACAGCGTAGAGATCTAATTAAAATTTTATATTAAAACATAAAATGATAAAAATAAAAAATCAAATAAAATTGAATAGACCAAGTTAAACATGTTTGATTGAAGTCCACATCGACTATGGTAATGTATGAACAGATCTAGGATCATAATATAATATGGGTATGCTCTATATTAACTTTCACGGAGCCATGAGATAAGCACATAGCGAACTATTCTTTCGCCTTTTACTAAAGAATACCGTGTGCTTGTCTCGCAAAGTGGCATACGCCTATTTTTGGAAGAGCCTTTGTTAAAAGGGCTCTGTAACTTTAGTTGGAAATTATTCTTTTCTTAGTTATTGAGCTGTTATTTTTTCGTAGTTATTAAGCTGTTATTTTTTCTTAGTTATTGAGCTGTTTTGAATGTGGCCCTTCTTTAAGGGTCACAATTCAGTTTTTGAAAACAAGCGATTTGTTTATTCTCCCTGAATCATAATACTGTTGCAAGCATAAACACTAAGGGGAATATTTTACTATGCACCTTTTATACGTTTTACAAATTGTTAACTTATTTTCTTCTCAAATTTTGTCATGCATCTGAAATATGTCATTATATTTACATAGATTAATTTATAGTTCTTTTAAATGTACTCGTTATATTGGATTTTTTTAGAGTAATTATCTTCAATTTCATAGTAATTTGTAATGTTTTGAAGGGAATAAATTACTCATCCATTACTGCTCCCCCTTCTGGGAACCGAGGTTGGTATGCCCTTCATTATATTTTGGTTNTCCACATCGACTATGGTAATGTATGAACAGATCTAGGATCATAATATAATATGGGTATGCTCTATATTAACTTTCACGGAGCCATGAGATAAGCACATAGCGAACTATTCTTTCGCCTTTTACTAAAGAATACCGTGTGCTTGTCTCGCAAAGTGGCATACGCCTATTTTTGGAAGAGCCTTTGTTAAAAGGGCTCTGTAACTTTAGTTGGAAATTATTCTTTTCTTAGTTATTGAGCTGTTATTTTTTCGTAGTTATTAAGCTGTTATTTTTTCTTAGTTATTGAGCTGTTTTGAATGTGGCCCTTCTTTAAGGGTCACAATTCAGTTTTTGAAAACAAGCGATTTGTTTATTCTCCCTGAATCATAATACTGTTGCAAGCATAAACACTAAGGGGAATATTTTACTATGCACCTTTTATACGTTTTACAAATTGTTAACTTATTTTCTTCTCAAATTTTGTCATGCATCTGAAATATGTCATTATATTTACATAGATTAATTTATAGTTCTTTTAAATGTACTCGTTATATTGGATTTTTTTAGAGTAATTATCTTCAATTTCATAGTAATTTGTAATGTTTTGAAGGGAATAAATTACTCATCCATTACTGCTCCCCCTTCTGGGAACCGAGGTTGGTATGCCCTTCATTATATTTTGGTTAAAGAATAGAGTTCATACATAGTATTCAACCTCTTCAGTAAAATTCTAATTTACATGTATGCCACTCGCAACCTTTTCCAGAAAATTCTAATTTACACTAACATTACAGAGTCCTTGGTCAAAACTCTTCCCTCTTACGAAAATTCTAATTTACATTAACATTATAGAGTCCCTCTCGTCAATACGCTGTTTATCGTATGAATCACTGTTTGATGTGAATTTTGATCAGGCATGTGAAATTGGACTACTCTGTCATCTATTGCAAAAATTCAACTAATATTGCAGAGCCTTTTATCAGACTCTTCCAAAAATACACGTATGCCATTAAAAGTGATAAATACACGGTATTCTTTAGTAAAAGGCGAAAGAATAGTTCGCTTTGCACTTATCACATGGCTCCATGAATAATATCATAGCAGTCTCTTATTATTGTACTATAATCATCACATTGACTTTTACAATACCACTCGATGTGGGTTTAATAAGAAATGTAAATTTGGCTGTTTTAATACCAGAGTAGTGTTTTTCAATACTATCCATGTTTCATTTAACTAAATTGCTCACAAATTTAGTCACTGAGATTCTCTTTAAGAATATTTTTGGCCGCATCTTCGGATTTAAATTTACTGTCTCACTCATTGAAAGCACCACAGAGAACACTCTTGACAGTAAACTATAATCAAACAGTCCTCAGCACATTGATTAACTGAAAAATCAAAACTGATATTACATAGCCCTCCAAATAAGAGGTTTCTTTCGTAAACAAAATGTTGCTTGTTATGACAATTACCAGATTCCTTTTAGTAAGAGGTGGAAGAATATTTCTCACATTCTCAGTTTATACTTAGCCCAATTAGATTAGTTTGATTTGAGAGAATAGATGAGTATGGAGAACCAAATATTTAAGTTTCTAGGTATGACTGGTTCGTTCTCCAAATTTTTCCTATCACTTTTCTGAGTTCTGACTGAATTTGTTGATTTTTTTTGTGGTATTTAGAATTTCTATTTTTCTATAATGTACTTGTAGATATTATTATGGCAGAGAACACATATTTTTTACATACAGCTGAAAATCCACAGAATGGGCACTACATTGAGCAATAGATGTCCCTGCATAACTTCTTGAAGTATTTTTCACATAATTTAGTATTTTTTGTCAAATTTTACTATATTGATTCCTGTGTTTGAAGCAAAAATGTTTTTGAATTAGACTATGAATTAGAAATGTCTGAAGAAGTTCTATTGCTATTTTTCCAAACAATCCACATCTATATAAGGAATGTGATGGACCTGTGATAATGACAAAACAATCAGAATAATCAACTTCTTCCCAATTCAAATCTTGAGAAATCCTCCCTCTTTGTCCTCAGTTATATCAGCAAATAATTTGAAAACCTTACTATGACAGTCCGTTGTGATCGGTTGTCAGTGCTTTGCTTTAGGAAGAAGTGTGTCCACAGCTTCTTCTTGTACCAAAAGATTTATTATCTTAATCATTTGTGGCCTCTGTACTGTGCAACTGTAAACTCTTCATGCCATCCAAATCTTCGTTTATTTTTGTGAGAATATCATCTGTTGTGAGTTCTGAATCAAAACCAAACCTATTAATGCATGTTCCTATCAGGTGTCTGCACCCCAAATTTACCAAAGATAAATTAGAAATAAGTTGACCACAAAATTTATCAGTAACGGCTCAATATTGTTAATTTAGTAAAGGGTCTGAATGGATTTCAGCCCTTCAAAAAGGGTATGCAGATCCTGCGTACCCTGAAGGCTAAGAACCGTTACTGGTTAAAGGTCTTTCATCTTAGCCATTCTGCAAAATTGATCTGTAGAAAGAAAGTCATAGAGAGGTCATCAAAGTGTATTTCAGTTCCAAATTTTTTTATGTATGAGGATATACACTATTTGTTGTTGTCGTTGATCATGTATCTCTTTCTGTTTGTTAAGCATTAATTCGTGATGCATTGAGTACATTACTTTGATTGTAATAAATCTTCAACTGCAGAATATACATACTCACACAAGCCACACACTCCCATATCAAATAAAAACCTCGTAACTTTCATTCAGACCAACCAAAAGCTAAAAAGAAATCTTAATATAGCTGCAAAAAGATTTAAGTCCATAAGTCTGCATTCAGAACGAAAATCAGTTTGTATGTGTTTGAATAAAGAAGTAATCTGCATTTCAAAACTAAAATCAGTTAGTATGTGTTTCGTGTCTGATTTTTACTTCAGCCACTTAGAAGACTGTAGATTTCAAATTTATGTTCTTTAATTGTTACATCAATAAGCATTTGACTTCAAGTACTTGTTTTAACTCTTAAAGTTTGTGACTTCAACTTCCAATGCCATTATAGTCAGTAATGACGAACAAATTTGCATTGTCATTAGAATTTGCTTTGAGAAAGTTTAATGGGAATTTAGTTGAAATTTCTGTCCCCTATACATAAGCAAACCCAATGACTCAAATTCTTGCCCCTTGTGAGCATTACTTATGATGACAGTAGTGCTACCTTGGTTCTCAACCAGGTTGATAACTAGGCTGAAGCAAGGTTCTGTTGCACTCTGAAAGCTCACTGTCTCACCTGGAACAATGGTTACAAGACCAATTACAGGGTCATCTTCTAAAAGACTTTACGGTCTTACAGAACTCTTGTTTCCTCAAACTCACTGCATACCAATGTCAAGGCCTGAACAACTTCACCCATAAAAGGACGCTGAGTGACTTCTGACTGCACGCACATGGATGCAATTGCTGCAACCTTTACAATGGTATCAATGGAAACACTATCCTTCATAATTGGGTCTATGAGCTTCTGCAAACCCTCCTTACTTGTAAGAAGTGGACGAGCCCAAGCAACAAGGTTTTCTTGGCCCGTTGGCTGTGACAAATCCACAGGCTTTCTTCCACTTAGCAGCTCAAGGAGTACAACTCCATAGCTGTAAACATCACTTTTGACAAGAAGATGTCCTGTCATTGCATATTCAGGAGCTACGTAGCTTCAAAACAAGATGCCAACGAGACAAAATCAGTTTTCATCTAGAGGAAGTGAAATGAGTACATTGCAAACACCGTTAATTTGACTATCATGTCCATGACCCATGAAATCATCAATACAAAAAGGTCTAGGAAGAGATTGTTACCCAAATGTACCAATAACATGAGTTGAAATGGGCTTGTTTCCCTCGTTCAATGTTGTTCTAGCCAAGCCAAAATCTGAAACTTTGGGTACAAAATCGTATTCCAATAAGATGTTGCTGGATTTGAAGTCTCTGTGTATGACACATGGATTACAATCTTCATGCAGATAGGCTAATCCTCTAGCTGCACCAAGTGCAATCTTCATCCGGGCATTCCAATCAAGTGGTTCGGTTTCTTTGTCCACACCTAGCCACAAGTTAGAGTATTAAAAATCAGGCTCTTAAAAATTGGCTTTCAAAAGTGTTGATGACTTTCATCATCACATCAGTGACTTAGCCTACCATGTAAGTGGGATTCCACGCTGCCATTAGGGACAAGCTCATAAACTAAGCAGCGAGTCTGTTTCTCTGTGCATATACCTATCAATTTAACTAAATTCCTATGGTGCAAGCAGCTAAGCATCTCTGACTCTGCAAAGAATTCATGGTCACCATGCTGGTCATCCCTTTTGAGAATCTTCACAGCCACCTCTCTGCCATCATTTAAGTCACCCTTATAAACAAGACCGAAGCCACCTTCTCCAAGTATGCTTGAAGAATTGAAGTTATTTGTTGCTTTCTCGATTTCGTTCAAAGAAAATATTTTAGCTGATCCTGCATAGATTATTGTTCCAGAACTGAAGGACATTGATCTAGAACCTGGCATGCTCGCATAAGTCAATGACCTAACACTGGCAGTTCCTGCTTTGAACATATTCATAATGAATTCCACTGTTATCTACTTGAACATGGAGATTCTCAAGTAAATAGCTAAGATGAAGATTTTTCAAGCACAATGTCTGAATAAATCCCAGAATACAAAAAACTAAATTAGCACTGTAACCAGAAAAGCCGAAATTGACACTTCAAACTTCATGAAGTGAGTTGTCCATGAAATTAGGTCTTCAAAAATTACCAAAAGGTAAAGGTAGTCCTCACTTGCTTTTAGAATAAACATTTGATATGAGTTTTGTCTCAAACATAGACACCTACAATATTGGTATTCTCCAGTCATCTCTGGTACCCACAATCAATATTTCCATTTTAAAGATTTCAAATAAAAGGACAGAAGTATTTCTAATTGCATGAAAGAAATCATCACAACGCTTAATTGTTTAAACAATGGATAGAAAACAAAAACTTCCTTGTTACGGTATCTAAAGTGCCATCAAGACTTTGAAGAAATCAGTACTTTAAGTTACCTGATCGTTTTGAAGATGATGACATTTTTGCATCTGGAATATGTCCAGGTTCAAGAGTGCTGGAACCACATTTTAAGAGAAAAAGCCATTCAAGTCCAATGAATAGAACGAAGGCGGCCAAAGATGAAAGGATGATCATAATAAGCATTCTTCCACCACTCCCTTCTTTTTGCTTCCTTGAGACATTTACTCCTAAAGGTTTTATTATTGTTACATTGTTGTCGTGACCAGTGTATGGTTCAACATCTATACCGTAAACATTTGAAGGTGGAGATGGTGGAAGACCTGAATATGTTATCAAAAAAGGATAAATGAAATCAAATATACTACATTTATTGACTTCATATAGTACAACACAAAATGGTCTTAAAAAAATTATTAATGTATAACCTGGATAATGAACATAGAGCACTTCATAGGAACCGAAGGTAGAAGAATCACTGAGTATCTCTCTCTGCCAGAATTTCTTATATATTAAAAGAGCTGTTGTATCATCAAATTTCACTCCTTGGGGTACCAAGTTTATGAGAACAGTGGTTTTCTCGACCTGCTGAGTAGTTGCATCGGCTCCCACAATGCGTACTTGATTACGGTTCAAAAAAACACTAGCTGAAATTTCTTTGGCCAGCTTTGAAACAGAAGGAAAAAACTTGTTTATTGCAATGCTGATGCGTAGTTTAACTTGGAGTGGCCAAACACAACCACAAGGTGATCCAGGAAGTGTATATGTCAAGGGCTCGGAGCATGTCAGTGACATACAACCTAAAGACCAATTAGGAAAAAGATCATTACACAGATATCGGATAACTTGGGTGGGATTATTGAAGAGAAGGAATCAATAATACCTTTGTTAGGCGGTGGAGATGGTAGAACCAAAGCATATGCTGCTGGTGGAGTTCTTGTCTTCTTCACTGATGAACCTTGAGGTGAAATTCTGGGTGAAGTATAGGGTACTGATGGTGATGGACAGAGCAAGGCACAAACAATGAGGTGCTAACTCTAGTTAGCAGT